TGCGGGTGAGAGGGCACGTTCTTCAGCCCCCGCCTCTAAACGCGGGCAGAAAGGAGGGCGGTAGCCGCAGAGCTCAGGCCAGGTGGGGGAGGGTGGCGATGGGCCCGTTCGCCCATATTAGGAAATCATGACCGTTCACGTGGGGTTGGGGTGGGTAGACGGGGTCAAGACTCCCTTGAAAGTTGAGCATGGGCGAGTGTCCCAGAGCCCCTGTCTGATGCAGGTCAGTGAGAGGCGAAGGCTTCTGCGGAGGCAGTTTGGATCTGCCTGCCCACAGGCTACTGGAGTAGTTTAACCCAGCACCTTGCCCTTTCACAAGCAGTACAGCCCTGTTTGCAAATTAATACCTGCAACTGCAAACGTTATTTGATCCAAAATACTGAAATAGGAAATCATGTTCTCCCAACCTCCTCTACCCACCCCACCCCCCCAGAGTGGAATCCGCTGCAAAATCTCCAGCCTTAATTCTTGCTTCAGGACCCAGGCCGGTGTCTTGCTCTTGGGCAGTCCAGGGCAGAGGGGCCGGGTCTGCCCGCGTTTACCACTGTTGTCAAGCCACGGCCCTCTGGCCAGTCCATGGCCATCCTCAGTGAGGCGGCCCGCCTAGGCCCCCTGCCAAGCTCTGATCCCGAAGAGGCCACCCACGAGCCCTTCCGGCCCTCCTCAGGCCCCATGGCTGCTCTTGCAGGCAGCATGGGAAGCAGGCTCTCTGGGGAGCCGGCCGCACACAGGGCTCGCAGCCCATGCTCACTTCCTGATGGTAGAGCTCGGGGGGGAGGGGGCTTGTTCCCCTGCAGTATCTGTTCTGTGAAGTTTGTTAAATGTAAGGAAAGCTTAAATTCTTGTATCTTTAAAAGAGAAAATCTTATTTAACCCTTTTGTGTTCTAGATTTACTTACACACATAGCCTAGAGCTCAGTTTTAGTTTTAACATTGTGAAAATATTAAAAGAATCTTGTAACTTTATTCTTTTTTTTTTTTAGAAAATTAAACCAATCGTATGAAAGTTTGGATTTCTCTGTTTCGCCAGCTCTCCTTTGTGCCACGTGGATAACCAAAAAAATAGTAAAAGGTCTCCCTGGTCAGAACTTGGAAGAGCTCTGGGGGGCTCTGGTGTGTCTGGTGTGTCTGGGGATCATGACTTCAGTAAGTGTCCGGGGTAAGCATCTGCTCCCCTGGTCTGTTGGGTGGTTCTGCCTTGGGAGGCCACGGAGTCTGGCACAGTCAAAGGTGTATCTCCTGGGCCAGGCCCTCGCTAGCAGCAAGGTGGTTACCCAGGGGAAGATGGGAAGAAATGAGCACCAGCCCTGAGTTCCCCAAGTGTACGCAGGTCCTGGTGATTGTGGGACTGCATCTCTGCAACTCAAACCCCACCCAAGGAAGGACCCACAGGATGGACAACACAGTTTCCCTGAAGGGAAGATGAGAGTGATGTATTTGCTGTGTGAACTCTTTGGTGTGCAGGATACACTTAATACGTCTTAAGATATTTAAAAACATTTGGTAGTGAGTGGCACCCTCCCCCCCGCCACTGAAATACTGGCCACACAGTTGTCATGAAGATGACAGCTTCATCGAGAACCCTCAGAGGAAGTCAGAGGTGCAAGGTGAAGGTGAACAAGCAGGTGAGCAGAGAGCACAGGGTCTGGTGGCCTTTGAAAACTCCGTGGCTGGTATGGAGTGGCTGAGACTGCTGCACTAAGCAGACCGGTCAGGGAGTCTTCGCTGGTGCCAGCAGGGCCTGTGGCTAAAGGGCGGTGGGGGAGGGGAGCACTTCCTGGTGGGCAGCAGTGAGGAGCAGGACACCTTTGTCAAGGCAGTGGTCAGCCACATCCTTGGGGAATGAGAAGGGAAGATTCCAGACAGGCACCAGAACAATAGAAACACCCAAGAAAAGTCTGCAGGGGCCTCAGAAAATGTACCTCCCTGCAGCCATTCTCAAAGCTTCCTGAGGGGAGGGCTCCAGAAAAGAGGAACAAAGCGGAGAAAGGTGCAGAAACAGGAGGGAGCACTGTGAAGGGACTGCGTGCAGCACCCGGTCCGTGCCAGGCAGGGCGCCAGGCCTGCAAGAGCCTCCGATGAGCCTGGAAGTGTCAACACTTGATTCACGCTTCTATCACCGTACTTGGATATGAATCTTAGATGGAAAATTATGCAAAT